AATGGCGATGGTATTCGGCCAGAGCAGAAGATGCGCGACTATTCGATTGGAGTATGTCAGCTCCGCTGGGTTGACAATTAATCATGAAGGACAGATACCAAGTTGTAAACCATAACTTCTAGAATAACGACGAATGTTCAATGGTATGTAAATGATCTTATCAGATCACATCAACGAGGCTTACACGAAGATTTACCAAGAGGTATAGCGTTGATTTTGCCTAGGAAAGAAAAAAAAACCAACTTATCTTGAAGACGTACAAGCTCAAACAGTTAGACAGCTATTAACCCACCAATAAGTAACGCCGTGTAACTCGTTGCCTACGAACGAGTACTCTCTCACGAAGAAATGGAGAGGAGAAGAGGCGTAGAGGTGTGAAATAATTTCTGTAATTCCTGTTTCAGAATTACTCAGTAGATTCCTGTAGTCACGTAGTGGTCGCCGTAGATAGGAACTCGCAGTGGACGTGTCGTCCGGAAGCAGCGGCGTCAGGGGGTTAATTAGGTTGGGGTATCTTTCGTGCAAGAGAAATGCCTCATTTAATTTGAAGGGAGGAAGTAAAGGTATAGGCACCTTGTACTATCAGTACAAGAACTAGTCAATGAAGTACGATACGAAGTGCGATATCTTTCGAGCCGTTTGTCACTCTGAGGATTTTACAGACAAAAAATTGTATTTTAGTACAAACAAAAGAGTCCTTGTGTTAAAGTAAGTACATTATACAAATACATACTGCATACCATACAATCTGTTCCAAGCAGAGCATCTTCGTCACCCATCGTCTTTCAGGGAACGCTTTAAGTAACAGCCTAGCTGAACGCCAACGCAGTCCAAGCTGCAGCAGCACCGATGGTGACGGCCACTGCAGTTTGTGCAACGACGGTCCCAACACGCCGCGCTCTCGCTATTCTTCGAGCTCGCTTGGGAGTGGGCACCATTAAACCATCAACATCCGGTGAAATGGTGCTGGAACTGGAGGACTCCATATTGTCCAGAATTTCATGATCCAGATCGTCGCTTTCATCAGCGCGCTTTCGCTTCAGTGACGAGTGGACCACGTCCGAAGAGGCAGAGATAGCCTGATTCATACCAGAAAGTTTAGAAGAACCGTGATCCTCACACACGGGAATACATACCTGCGCCGCGAGTGCTGCTTGTTTGCGCATGTCAATGACAATTCTTAGCTCATTCTCAGCTTCGATCCGGGCAGCGGTGAGGGTCTCTAGCTCGGCGGTACTCTTTTCCTTGATCTTGAGTATTTCTGCAACGAAAGAAGGATGAATGCAAGAACAAGGGGAAACAAACGATAACCTACCATCAACCATGCCCTGCAACTCCTGAATCCGACCCGCGGTAGAATCCTCCCTTGCTCTCAATAAATTCATTTCCTCTTCCTGAGAATCAAGTCTCTGCTTCATATCCCCAACCTGACCCCACAAACTCCTGTTTTTGGTTTCCACATCATCCAGACGAGCACGAACTTTATCAAGTGGAGATTCGTAGTCCCAATCCTCCAGACCGCGAGCTTGATCATCCCCCAACTGTTGCTGCAAGGTGTTCATATCTGCACGAACACGATTGATATCTGTCCAAACTTCATCAAACTTTCCCCTCGTCGTTTCCTTTATTTCTTCTTTTATGTCCCCAGGCCCATATCTAACCATGAGATCATCGATGTCCCTCCTTACCTCAATGAAATCCAACCTCAAACCATCGACATCATTTTGCGCATTGCCAATATCTCCCTGCAAACCTGCGACATCTCCATGGATGGTATCTATGTCGTCTTTCACACCACTCATATCAATCTGTACGGCATCGACATCACCCCTCACGACTTCAATATCACCCCGCACTCCATCGACATCGCGGCGCAGAGTATCAACGTTCATCCTCATATCCTCCCGAATACCCTGCGTACTATCTGCTAAATCATTCCTCACTCCATCGACCTCGATCCGCTGAGCATCGGTATCATTCCTCAATTCATCCATATCGCTTCTCATTCCATCAATGTCATACCTCATCGCATCAACGTCCCCACGAAGTCCATCAGTATCCCCTCGCAATGCATCAGACTCCCCTCTCACCCAGTCGATATCGCATTTGGCCACGCCAAGCGTAGAGTCCAAACTGTCGAGAAGAACTTGTGCATCTGAAAGCCCGGAAGAGAGAGCACTGAGCTGCGCCATTCTCGTGTTCATAGTAGCCACGTTATCGTTGAACCGAGTTCGGTACTTGCGGTGTTGGAGCTGGAGGGCGGTAATATTGGTCTGGATACACAAGCATAAAGTGAGGACGGAATTGATGGGCAATAAGTGGAAAGTGGGTATGACATACCTTCACGCTCGTCAGCTCATCGTCGATTTGCTTTACCTTCACCTCATTCGCAGTTTTCAACGCCTGGAAAACCTCAGCGGTTACGACTTCCGAGTTGTCTGCACCACGTCGAGCGGTAACAAGATCACTTGAAATCGAAACTATGCCAGCGTCAGCATGAGGGGCGCTGAATCGATCCTGTTTAAGGGGGTGCAGTAAATGAATTGGTCCAAACGACGAAAGAAAGACACACCTTGAAACTCGACAACGCTGCACGAATATCCGCTGCGCGCTGGAAAACACTCGAAACTGGATTTGCATTCGCATTGGCGATGGTCATTCCGGGGACTCTGGTACCAGTAGGCGTAGCAGGAGAGGAAGCTTGAGCATCAGTATCAGCAGCCTCAACACGAACCGCATCCGTGTCCATTTTGTCCTCCTCTGTAACCTCAGCAAATACCTGTTCATCTGGACGTTTCGGTTCGTCCTCAGCGTCGACCGCACCATCATTGCCGCCGGATTTGTTATCAGGGCTGGGGCTACGATGAACGAGCTCAGTTTCCCCCGCTTCCGGCGGAGTACCCTCCACAGCGACTGATAAATCTTTCTCTTCTGTAACAGACTCCTCTTCTGCGTGTCCTACGAATGGACTTTCCTGGCCGTCGTTAGCAGAGGAGATGGCAGAGGAGGGCCGAGAAGAAGCAGATTGCGAAGTCTGAGTCTCGTCAATGCCTTGCACAGATGCACTCGACTGCTTCATCGAAAGATAGGGAGCCAACTGGGGTCCGCTGACCGAAAATCGTTGCAGCGGGGCAGAAAATGAAAAGTGAGCCAATTGAGGGACGGATTTCGTAGATGAGGAGGCAGGTACAGAAGCAGGGAGAAGAGGCTCATCCATGAGGAGCTTGGTAGGGGAAGCTGGGGAAGAAGGCGACGGAGATGGCGTCGCGAGCTCCATAGGAGAATTGGACTTTGACTTGACAGGCGACTTGGACCTCAACCTCTGCGACAAGGATTGCGACGAATGCGAGGATCGGTGCAAACCCAAACGGCCCTGCTGCTTAATAGTATAGGGCTTGGCTGTCCTCTGGAAATCATTCCATTTGTACCTGCTGGTGTTTCGTGAAGGGTTGCTACCAAAATCAAATATGTCATCATAGTTGATAGATGTGGTTACATCTGGGTCTTCGATTGGAATAGGGGAAGAAGCGTCTGCTTTGTAAGGAGCTACAACAAAATTTAGTGCATTTAGATTTAGAAGGTTTGCAGTTTATTACCTGGGCTAGACGACCTCGACATGAGACTGCGTAAGCGGAAAGCACGCTTGACACTCGGTATGATTGAACGGGGATGGAAACCAGGAGGAGAAATTTCCACAACATCAGAGTCATGACCCGATGCAGATATATTAGCGTCTGCGTCTGCGTCTTCGGACGAAGACTCTGAGTGAGAGCCAGAATTGGAATTGGAATCATCCTCTTCCGAAAGAATGCCACCTGTTCGCAGTCCGTATCTACCTGAAGATGAGGATGGCATGCTTGTGGGAGTAGGGGGAGTACTCTGGATTATTTCGACTCGGGCAACTACGGGTCGAACGACTTCGTTGTTCCTGCCCACAGATTTCCCAAAAGTGATCACATCGCCGTCGTGCACTTGAACCGGCGTCTCAGGGGTGATTTTCCTCGAAAGCAAGTCCGCTGATGGTCTGACGTGAGTCCCGTGGTGAGACATAGTATCAGTAAGATATAACTAGTAGATGAGTCCCTTATCAGTGAGGTTTGTAATCAAAAGGGAGCATGGTTTAAGACGTACGGAACCCGAGTCTGTAAAGGTAAACTTGGCGTGAGCCCTACTCACGACGGCGCAGCGAAACATTGCTTTCGCATTGTCGCTATCATAGGCCCCTGTGCCATGATTGGGTGGTTTCCGACCAACAACGACAGTATTCGTGTTGACCTTGCGGAACATCATACGATGGGCAGGTTGATTTCCATTGTTCTCAATGTGCAAAGCAAAGCCTTTGGAGTGAAATTCAAAGTTAGTTTCTATATCGATGAAGGTCTTGCCACAGGGTCACTTCTCACCAGTCACAGATTGATGTCCAGCTCGAGGAGGCGATACACCCAGATATTGGATATCGTCGTCAAACATATGGTGAGGTTCTCTGCGATACTCGGCAAAAGGCTGGGAAATAGGGAGGGATGTGGATAAAGAGAGAGAGTAAGTCAGACGGTGCCGCTATGAGCGCTTTTATATTGCCGTGTTTCACGTGTATGCGGCTCCTAGCGCTTACGAGAAGACAAAAATCAAATTGGCTCTCATCTCGCGATTGTCAACTTCCTTGCTACTGCTGGGGCTGCGCTCTCTGCACCAACTGAGGTGAGCCGGCTGAGAAATTGAAGATCTTCTTGAAAATTGGGTGATGAACTCCTCGTACAAAATAAATAAGTTAAAATGGAGCTCAACGGCGTAGTCAAAGTGGCAAATGATTGGGAGTCCATTATACTTGTTAAGGGCGCTGTTTTCCTGCTCTCTGTGAGTCGAGCTGCTACCCTCCCTTAGGGTTCGACTGTTCCCTCGTGGGACCTCCGCTGTAGTGTGGAGCCGAGTATCAAATCGAAAGCTCGTTTGAAAATTTGCTTAAAGTTCTCAAGATGTCAAGTTACATGGCCTATAACATCGGTTCGATGGCGTAGTTGGTTATCGCATCTGTCTTACACGACTCTCACAGAAGGTCCTCGGTTCGAGCCCGGGTCGAGCCATGATTGTTTTGCTTTTTTGCATTTATTAACCCAATGTTACGATCATAAAAGAAGAAAGCTGGACAGCTATACTGACCCACAGACGTGGAAGGTCTCTGTACGAGGCCGCGTCCATAAGAGTTCGAGAGCCTTACAATACCTAGTGAGGTTTGGTTTTTAAGCGTCAACTGGAGTTCTTCGTTCAGTTCGAGAGAACGCAGTTAGTTACCCCTTGTCCGTCCAACTCAGAGGTAGATGGTCCATATAAAATATCTTATTACTCCCTTCCATCCTTGCTATCAAAAGACTCCCGAAACTCCCCTTCTCCTCTGTTACAGTGTTACTACTATTAGCAAATCCCTAGCCTAGCTACTAGTCTTTGAGAAGAGAATACTCGTTCTCATATAAAGCCTAGTAGCAAGGTTCGATGAACTCGTGTTCGATTTTTTCAAACTCCGATCCTTTGCCATCTTGTTGCCGATGTAATCATAGCAACGTAATAATCAATGCTGATAAATATCACTGATACGTATGAAACAATGAGCTCAGATACAGAAACTGGTCAATCGTAACGAATCTGCACACATCTGGACCTCTTGTACGAAAGCATGCATGATCATGTACTATACTGTGAGCACTCAGCAAATCGCGTTGGATCAGTTGACGAACTCGAGCTATATTGTCCGCGTCGAGAGTCCTGAAACTCGATAGAATCGTCTGCATTCAATAAAAACCAAAGTACGAAAAATAAACAACGCGCGATACGCGCCAGTGACTGTGCATGACAGACAGGCAACACGCGCAATCACGCGAAGCTCGCACGAACACGAGGTTCATCAAACCTGCTACAAGGCTAGCAAATCCCAATGGAAAAGAACCGGACCACATGATTCCAGGGGAAAATGATTTGTTTCAGGTGGTGGCGTCAGAATAATACTGAGGGAAGTTAGCGCTAGCAGACATGGTGTCCAGGAACTGTTTGTGCACTGCTGTGATCTTAGGAAGGTTGTTCAATGGGGTTGCGCTTGAGGAAGACGTGCTGGAGTGTCTCAATGTGCCTGACACAGCCTCGACACTTCTTTGACTGCCATTCTGCATCCAGGAGCGGTCAAGGGTGTGGTATCCCCCCAGCTGAGGACCCACGTCAATGAGACGTTGTGAGATGCCGTTGGGTGTGTGAGATTGCGCCGTAAGTGTCAGACTGGGAGTCAGAAGGCCCATTCTTCTGGGGCTCGCGTTTATGTACCGCGCAGGAGAGCCAGCCTGGACCAGCTGTCAGGGCCATCGATCTTTGATTGCGGCCCTGTGTTGACCAAACGGCAGATCGTGTCAATCACCGCAGAAACCTGACGCTTTGGGTTATAATAATACTGCAGGTATGAGAGCCCTAGGAAGTTTATTCGAGACCAGGTGGAGGTCAGAACTTAAAGCAAAAGATAACAGATGAGGCGTTTAAGGGCTAGGGGTTACCTTTCAGGATGAGTTGGCATAACTGAAGAGGCCTAGCGGCATGTGGCAGAGGAAGTAAACCTGTACTGCCTCCATGTTCTCCTCATGGACAAAGTGACCTCACACGCAGAGATGAGTTTGAGGGTTGAACGTTGAACGTTGACTAGGAATAGTGTCAGTTATTTTTGTTATCCGAGGGAGGCATCCGATGGTAGGAGGTCACACCCTGGACCCCTTGCCACAGCGACTGCGACGGAGCGCTGAGCGCTTGTCCCAGTTGTAGGAGGTGAAGATGTCCCTGTGGGAGGAGCGAGAGTGGACTGAATATCAGTGACTCCCCAGCCAGCGTGAACACAGGGCTCCGGGAGAGACAGCCGGGGGAGCATAGTAAAAAGCACGACGCAGGATTTACTGAAATTCAAACTGATACTAATAGTGAGGTGATTGGCAAAACACCGCCGCTCGTGTCAAGTTGGCGCTGGTGGCTGGAGGCCTGGCAGCTGGGTCACACTATGTCTCCAGTGTGAGGTGTGAGCGCTTGAGCCATGATGAGTACTGAGAGAACCCCGGACAGGCGGCGCCAATAGGCGCTGAGGACATTCATAGGTTCGGATAAAAATGGTCCAAATTTTAGCCAAATCACATATTTCGGTTCGGATAAAAATGACCACCGTAGGCGGAGGTGGTAAAAGGGCTGCTCAATTCCACTCGCCCTGTCACTCACGAGTGAAATCAAATGTGAGCTGATATGACGAGAAACAAGGGCTCCCGGACCCAGCCCGATCCTGACATAATTAATGAGCTGTTTTAGGGAGGCGACGGAAGGGGGTGGGCTGCTCTGAGGTGAGCAACCCAGAAAGATGACACGACTGCGGCCGGGGGATTCCCCGGGGGAATCCCCCTCCCAATCCCCTATATGACTCACACAGCTTGTAATATCCATTGGTCATAATCTCTGGCTGACATTTCATAAATTACATAGAGCCTGCCTGTGTATTGAACATTAGATACTTAACTAACTACATCGGATCCAGTAATAATGGCTATCCGCCTAATACCAACCTCGTTAGCTTTATTCACCAGACTCTGAGAGCCCACTGAGCTCTTTCTAATATGTAGACTGTCATTGCCCAAGCCTCAAGGCACTCTGGTTTGTTCAGTCTTTCCAATGTGGAGTGTGGCAGCTCCCTGACTCAGTGCACTGAGTTCATATATGGACTCCATACACCCACTGAGCCCACTAAATCCTCACCCAAACTCCCTTTACTGACTATTTCTTTTCTTTACCCCTCCAGCTCACTCCATGCACTGAGGCCATATACTGACCCCGCACACCTACTCCCTGCATGACTATTTCTTTTCTTCTCCTCCAGCTCACTCCGTGCACTAAGGTCATATACTGACTTCCAACTGACTCCACACACCAACTCCATGCATTGAGCTCATATACTGACTCTGCACACCTACTCCGTGCACTGAGCTCATATACCAACTCTGCACACCAAATCTATGCGCAAACTTCCTTCACTGACTATTTCTTTCCTTTCCAGCTTACTCTGTGCACTGAGCTCATAAACTGACTCTACATGGACTTATCCAAAATGCCAATGCATCTCACTTACACTCTGCAAAACTGTACCCATTCCATTCACTGACTGCTCTGAGGATAGAGTGGAGTGGGTGCACCTACTGCAGATGCTAAGGCAGTGAGGTTAGTCAGTGAACATACTTGGTGGGGGCTGGGCTTTAAAAATTTATCAGGACAATTGGTTCACTGATTTCACCTACTCAGATGGTGAGGATAGTCACTGGGTTTGGAAAATTGTGAGAATAGTCAGTGCACTGATAGCACATACTAAAGCAGTGAGGATAGTCAGTGGGCAAAGTCAGTGAAGGCATCACACATAGGGTAGCAAGCCAACAAATGTATTACATATAGTCAGTGCAATTAGGAAGTGCGAAACATCTGCATACTACAGGTACAGTATTGGTAAGTTGGTGAAGTCAGTACACCAAGTCAGCCTGGGTGAACGAACAAGTCAGTGAACGAAGTCAGTGAATGAAGTCCGGCAGACGCATTAGTACACCTGATTAGGGAGGAGCTGCCGGATGCCGGTATGAGTGATGACAATAACGAGATTAGTAACTGATCCTGTGACTTGTGGGAGGGGAGGGGAGGGGGATTCCCCGGCCGCAGTCGTACGGTTGTTCTCGAGCAACCGGAGCTCTACCCTGTTCTACCAGACGCAAGACCCTGTTGAGATCAAACGGCACGACCGGCTTGCGTTTGATTTCACTCGTGAGTGACTTGTGAGTGACACGGCGAGTGGAATTGAGCAGCCCTAAAGGAAGTTTGGATAACTCTGGCTAGTTTTGGAGCTGACCACTACCCCAGATGGCTCAAATTTTGGGATTTTTAGGGTGATTTTAGGTGATTTTTAAGTAATTTTGAGCAATTTTTACGCCCCAAGCGCATCAAATTGTGGCCAGCAACTCAAATCCACCCCATCCAGCGTTTTTCAAGGAAAAAACCGGTCCGGGCCCAGGCTATGTATGAGTTCGGATAAAAACTGGGTCAAAATCGAAAATTTGGTTCGGATAAAAACTGAGGTCAAAAAACATGACCTCCCCACCCAGTCCCCACCTATTGTCCGGGGTCCTGTACTGAGGCGCTTAAATGAGTATTGAGGCCGAAAGCCAAGCCAAAGCAGCGCGGGCCGCCATGCATACATAGAACACGCGACACCCGATCATTTGTTTGTTTATCCACCTTTGGATTCTCCTTCAACTCTCACGACGAGAACCTGTGCTGAACGTCGTGCTCACCACGACGACGAGAAGCTTTAAGAGTCTCTCTGTCCTTTACCCTGCATTATCTATACCTTTCCTTCAGACCACCTTGAAGGATTTTCACCATGAAACCACGCTTTGGCGACTTTGATACCCTATGCAGGAACACACCATCGTATACCTGGTGCAATCTCTTTTATCGACAACTTCTCAGAGATGACCCAAATCTCTTGACTGGAATTTCAACCCCTGCGAGCTCTGCGCCAATGGGAATAAATCCAGTTTGTGGAATTCCAAAAGTCGGAACAAGTATCAATGGCCCACATCAGGGAACAGGAAAGAGTCTGGGAAATATTGCAAATATCGTGGTTTGCGCTGTAGCCATGCTTGTTGTACTAGCTCTTATTGCTGGAGCCCAGCGGCGGAAAGCAGCAGTCGGCGAGTTAAAATTCCAAAACTTTGGGATTTCTTTCGTATTGACGATTATTATTATTATTATTATTTTTTTTTTTTGCTAGGCCGAGTCGAATTGCGAAATCTTCTGGTCATATATTTCCTGACATTACCCTTCCAACTCATCACAAACGGTTCACTACTCGAGCAAGGATCAACTTCACTGGTTGCATTAACTGCGATACACGCTGGACTTGTAGCCATGTTTTTCTGGGCGCTACTTATGAATGCACTTGTCGCAACACAGATGGTGGAAGATGGAACTCCTGCGGCATTAATAGTGCGTGACCTGCTTTCATCCAGACTTTTGAACTCTACTGAGGATGTAA